CACCAAAAGCAAGGTCAACAAAGCAAAAATAAGCAACTGGGACTACATCAAACTAAAAAGCTTCCACAAAATGAAAAGGCAACCTACAGAATGGGAAAAAATATTTGCAAATCATATATCTGATAGGGGCTAATAACTGAAATATATAAAGAATGCATACAACTCAAAAACAAACAATCAATCGAAAACCCAAAAAATTCCCCAACCAAACAATCCTACTAAAAAATGGGCAGAGGATCTGAATACACAAGGAAGACATACATACATACACACATACGAGGAAGACTCACAGGCATATGAAAAGGTGCTTAATATAACTAATATAACATAAAAATACATATCAAAACCATAAGATATCACCTCACACCTATTAGAATGACATTATCAAAAAGACAAGAAATAATAAAGTGTTGGCAAGGATGTGGAAACAAAGAAAACCCTATGTATCATTGATGGAAATGTAAATTGGTGCAGCTACTACGGAAAACTAATTTAGCAATTCACTCAATTCACTTCTATTTATTAAAAAAAAAAAATGAAACCACTATCTCGAAAAGATATCTGCACCCCTATGTTCATCTTTATTTATAACAGCCAACAAATGGAAAGAACCTAAGTGTCCACTGACGAATGAAGAAAATGTAGTGTGTATATGTGCTTTTTACATACACATATACACACACATATAAGTGGAAAATTCTTCAGTCATAAAAAGGAAACCTGCCATTTGTGACAACATAGATGGACCTTGAGGACATTATAATAAATGAAATAAGTCAGACAGAGGACAAATACTACATGATCTCATGTATATGTGAAATCTGGTGGTTGCCAGAGGCAGGGGATGGGAGTGGGTGGGTGAAATGGGTGAGAGTGGTCAAAAGGTACAGACTTGCAATTATAAGAGAAATAAGCCCTGGGGTTGTAATGTATACCAGGGTAACTGTAGTTAACAATACTGTGTTGCATATTCAAAAGATGCTAAAAGAGTGATTTTAAAAGTTCTCATCACAAGAAAATAAATATCTTAATGTGGTCATGAATGTTAACTAGAAATTTACTATGATAATCATTTTGCCATATATACACATATAAAATCATTATCTTATAGACCTAAAAATAATATGTTATGTCAATTATATCTCAATTAAAAAAATCTATCAATGGCATGGTTTGTAATAGTGTGGTGATCAAAGAGGCAGCTCACATACAAATAATTTATAAGACATTAAAATATTTAACTTCAGAGTTACAAAAAACATTTCTAAATATATCAAGTACACAAATATAAATAAGCTGAAATTAGAGAACTTGAACACAAAATTGTTTTCGTCTAAGAACCTGTTCCTGACCCACCCGTAGAGCTCTGCTATGTGCCTCAACAACACCTATGCCTCTTTATGGCACCCAAGGACTGTGACTGAACACTTACTTGTCTATATTCTACACAGTACCCTAAGTTCCATAAGGACAGAAACCAGATCTGTCTTGCCTGTTGCTCTATTTTCATTGCCTAGCACAACAGACATTCAGTAAATGTTTTCCGAATCACATTGACTTTCCTTAGAATGTAAACCTTAAGAGAGTTTTAGGCAAAGACAAATATAAAAAACAAAGGACAGAGGTTTTGAAACACATCTAAAATAAAGAACAGCTTCCTAGAGCTGTTATTTTTTAAAAAATATATTACACATGTTCCCTATTTTGTTTTTCTTACATATATGCTAGAGAAAGTTAAAAAAATATAATATTCAAAAACATAATTTTTGAATGATATAATATTCAAAAATGTAATTTTTGAATAATGCTATCCACAAACTAAGTACTATTAATATATAGCCCCCTGAAGTCCTGAATTTTCCTGGTACCTTATTCATAAATGTGGTTACTATCTATAGAATATATGTTTGATAAAGGCCAACACTAAAACCAGCTGACCAATGTCCACATTAGAAAGAAAGCTTTGACAAATGTCGATAATCAGTGAAAAAACAAGTATAGAACAATGAGTTAATTTCAGTATTTTTCTAAGTCATAGTTATTATTTTTCTATAGAATACCTAGGAACCTGAGATCATACCAAAAAGAAAGAAAGAGAGAGAGAGAGAGAAGTAGAGAATATCTGGAAAGAAAAAGTTCCCCCAATATTTAAAAAAACTTTAATAAAGAGTTTTTCTCAAATGATTAAATTAGCATGTCTAATAAAGAATGTTGAAATTATGTGAAAGAATAAGGGATGTAATTTTTTTAAGGAAAAAAATAAGAAATTCTGGATAAAGAGTTCTTGCTGGGAGTCAATATTTAATTTCCACTGTAAATATTATTTGGAAGAGAAGGAAAAAGAGAGATGGATTTAGAATTCGTGCATACAAGGTGATTACTCTTGCAGACGAAATTTCATTTTTGATTATTTTTCATGTTGGGACATTATGTGGTATTTTTTAGAAAAATACAATCACATTTCTTTATTTTATAACCAAGAAACAGAATTTTAATTCTTCTCATTTCTATATGCCAGTATAGACGCTACTAAAGTATGTGCAGGAATTATGCTTAAAGTAACTTTTAAAAACGGAAATTAAAGGGTCAAATTTGTTATATCTTGGACGTACAGGCATAAAGGAGGAAAAACAGAGCCATTTATATCTTAATAGAAAGAATAGGCCATTTTTAAGGCACTATAGCATTATGTACTAATAATGAAAGAGTCAAATTTTTCAATCCTGTGGGAAAATTAAATCACACAGAAATCCAAAAGATAAAAAAAAATTTAAACCAATACTGTCATATCTAAAACCAGACATTTGAAATGTAGATATCAATTTGTTATTTGAAATAACCTAAATTTTTATTCATATAATAGAAATATTTACCTGTGGTTACCTGTCTAAAACGTTGGCTATATTACACAGCTCTAAAGATCATTATTAACATTAAAGCTAATGACTATAACTATGTTTACTGCCCTTATAAATATAATTCAGATCTAATAATTTCTAATAAATCCTCATGAGCTAAAAATAACTTTAAAAGCCCTATAAGATTTATAGTACTAGACATCAAGATTTATTATAAGACTGTAGTAATCAAGGCATTATGGCATGTGATGCAAGGACAGAAAAACTAACTGAAAAGATTATAAAATTCTGAAACAGATGCACTCACATATCGTTACTTGATATTATGGCAAAGGTGATCCTGCAGTGT